GCAGCTGCGGGGTGATGTTGCTGCTGCTGCTGCTGCTGCTACTGTAGCTGCTGCGGCGGGTGCCCTGCTGCGGCGCCTGCTCGCAGGGGGCCTGCGGCTGCTGCTGCTGCTGCAGCTGCAGCTGTTGGGTTATGTTGCCGCAGCTGCTGCAGCTGTAGCTGTCCAGTTCTTGTGGGTGCTGATGCTGATGCTGCTGTTGCTGATGCTGCGGCTGCGGCTGCAGGTGCCGCTGCTGTTGCTGCTGTTGCTGTTGCTGCGGCTGCTGCTGCAGGTGCTGCTGACGTTGCTGCTGATGCCGCTCCTGCTGCTGCCGTTGTTGCCGCTGCTGCCGCTGCTGCTGCTGCAGGCGCTGCTGCTGCTGCTGATGCTGTTGCTGCTACTGCTGCTACTGCTGCTGTCGCTGCTGCTGCTGCAGCTGCAGCTGCAGCTGCTGCTGCTGCCGCCGCGGGGGGTCGCCGAGGGCCGCGGCGGCGGCCGCCGCTGCCGCCGCGGGGCGCGGCGGGCGGCCGCGGCGGCACAGGCCGCAAGCAGCGCCCCCGCGCCCCAGGGCCAGGCGCGGCCGGCGCGCCGCAGTCGCCACGGCGGTACCTGCCGCGGCCGCCGCCGCGGAAGCACGGCGCCGCCGCCGGCGCCCGGCGGCGAGGCTGCGGCGGGGCCAGGGCCCACGCTCCCAGAGGCCCGCGGCGCCGCAGCCTCGCCGTGGCGGCGGCAGAGCGGGCCCGCAGGCGGCCGCCGCGGCCGCGAGGGCAGCAAGCAGCAGCAGCAGCAGCGGCGCCAGCAGCGTCCAAAGACGCCGCGCGGCCGCCGCCAGCGCGGGTCGGCGCCGGCGGCTGGCCACGGCACCGGCGGCCCCGGCGGCGACCGCGCGCCAGCGGCGCGAACACGGCGCCCGCGGCGCCGCGGCGCCGGCGGCCGCGGCGGCCGCGCGTCGGTGTTCCGCGGCAGCGGCCACGGCGGAGGCCGCGGAGGGCCCGCCCTGCGCCGAGGCCCGCGGCAGACCGCGCGCGGCCGCGGCGCCGGCAGCGGAGGGGCTGGCGGCGCGAGCGGCGGCCGCGTCCCTCTGCCGGCGGCGCCGAGCGGCCAGCGTCTCCATCGCGAGCGGGCCTGAGCGCGCGCCGACCTGAGTCAGGGGCGGGCTCGAGCCGACATGGCTTGAGCCAAATGGCTTGAACCAAAGGCTACGGACACTGGTGGGGATACGTGTTTTGATTGGCGGCTCCAAGGAAGAGTCCAAGAAGCGGGGCGGGCGCGTCTGGGGCACAGGGCGAGATAATTGGTTACGAAAGCGCCTAGGCCAACTTAACAAGTGCACCTGCAAGAAGCAAAATGCCCCTCATTGAGCTGCGATCCACCCGCGAACGGGAAAGCAAGCACCAGACAGGAATAGACTGAGAGGAGTCGCACAGTGGCGCCAGCTCAAACCATCCAGCTCACAGAGCACAGGCTGGGGCAGGGCAGCCAAGTGGCAGGACAGCGGGCACGTGAGGCCGTAGCGCTCACCACTGCGAGGCGAGAGAGGTGGGAAAGCGCGGGCAGAAGAGGGGTGGCCAGGTAAGCCTCACTCACATGGACTCCTGGGCGCGATCCGACGCGAGCCAACGACCATTGCACTGACGTCGAAACAGCCGCAGAGTCTGCACCTTGACTGCCTGACCCGGGGCGACGGGGGAAACGGCACCAGGTGTGGCCGAGCACCATGGACCAACCCGTAGGAGAGCATGAGTACAGTCAAAGGATGAAACACTTGAGCAGCACCAGGAGCACGATGATGGCTTCCGCCCAGGGGTGAATCACGTTGTCGGCGAACAGCGCAGGCAGCTTACCCCGCACGGTGGACGGGGGGAGCAAGCGGCGTGCGTCAATCGGGGGCCGTGGTGGACCAGAAGGGGGAACGTCAACAGACGAGCAAAGGGTGTACCACTTGCCGTACCGCATTCATTCCAGGTCCAGCCCCCGGTGGTGCCGGGGCAGGCAGGGGCCCGAGCAGCCAGAACAACACCAGGTGGCTATGCGGCCCGCCCTCACCACGGAGCGTTGCGGGAGATCCGCCGGGTGGTGCATAGACCCGAGTGCTCCACGAGCCTCGGTGGGGGGGAAGTCGTGTGTGGCCGGATCCACAGGAGGAGGAGACGGGGGGAGGAGGAGACGCAGCCGATAGCCGCAAAATCAGTTGAATGAATGGAGGAGGGGGAGGCGTCGCCACAGCGAGTACAGCGAGACCCAGGCCGCTGTGATCGCACCGCGCGATGCGGAGGGCCTCGGTCACGGGGGGAACAGGGTGCCTGAAGATGCTGGGGGACGCCGTGTCCCAGCTGCAGGGCGCAACGTCGGGGGGAAGCACGTGAGGTGCAACGCGTCGGAGTCAGGTGTGGCGCGTGGGGTGGGCCTATGGCCACCATCCCCAGCCTGCCAAAGTAGGTGTCCCAAGGGGGGACAAAGTGGCTGTCCCAGTGGTACACGGGTGGTGGGTTATTTCAGCCGTCGCCCGCCTACGAAGGGTGCCACGAGACCAGCGTCGGCTGTCTAGTGCACAGCGCATGGGTATTGGTGCACCTCTACCCCGAAAGAGGTGCACGGGGGTACTAAGGCCGAGGCCTGGCGCTGCGGTGAAACCAATCCCTGCCCGGGTGGGGACGCCCATGAGGGATCTGAGCTGGTGGGGATACGCGAAGCGTCTAGAATTAGCATGGTGGGGTGACGCCGAGCCAGCGCCGCACAAGGTACCAGGGCTGAACCTAAACGTTGTGTTTCGTGTTGGTTTCGTTTTGTCTTGTTCGCTCTGCTCTACTTGTTTTCCTGTACCAAAAACAAACCACAGCCGAAGTCCAGTCCAGCCCTGCAAGGTACCGTCCTGCCTCCCTGTGCCTTCCTGCCGTCCCTCCCTCGGTACGATGCCCGCCTCCCACTTGGTCGCTTTGGGCCACTGCCCTCCACGCGCCACCCTGCGATGCACGGAGCTCGACAAGAGCACTGCAATCCTCGCATCGCGCCTACCGCGTTCCCTGTCCTTCCGCACGTACTCGATCAGCGACGGTGCCCCCGTGGCCCAATGGCACGCTGAGGCGTGGTGGAATACCAAGTGCTGTATGGTAGATCGGGTTTCTGTAACTAACTCCTCCAGTGGAGGAGGAGGAGGAGGAGGAGGAGGAGGAGGAGGAGGAGGTGGAGGTGGAGGAGGAGGCACCACACTTACTCAAGTGCACCGCCCCGACCCCCACTCCTACCCCTGGAGACTCCCTGGGCGCCACGACACCTCTCTGGGGCCCTCCGAGATGTCCCAAATGCCCAAGATGGCTTCCAGGACGGCCCAGGTAGGCCACCAGGGCCCCCATGATGGCCCAAAGTGCTCCCAAGACGGCCCAATATGGCCCCTCGCTCGAAACTGCCAGCGAAATATCCTGACTCCCCTCGCTTGAAACTGCCAGCGAAATATCATTCACCCCCTGACTTCAACCTGCCAGCGAAATATGCTCACACACCTCGCTTAAAACTGCCAGCGAGATATCCTCAACCCCTGGCCTAAAACTGCCAGCGAATATCCTCAACCCCCTGACTTAAACCTGCCAGCGAAATATATCCTGACACCTCTCGCTTAATACTGCCAGCGAAATAGCCTCACCCGCTAACCTAAAACTGCCAGCTTCTCAACCCCTGGCCTGAAAACTGCCAGCGAAATGTCATCACACCCTTCGCTCAAAACTGCCAGCGAAATCATCTCACCCCCTGACTTAAAACTGCCAGCGAAATATCCTCACAACCCAGGCATACAAAAAACTGCCAGCGAAATGTTCTCACCGCCCCTGGTCTAAGACTGCCAGCTACATATCCTCACCCCCTGGACTTAAAACTGCCAGCGGAATATCCTCAACCCCCTGACATAAAACTGCCAGCGAAATATCCTCGCCCCCTGGCCTGAACCTGCCAGCGAAATATCCTCACGCACCCGGCCACAAAACTGCCAGCGAAAAATCCTGACCGCTCCTGGCCTAAAACTGCCAGCTAAATATCCTCACCCCTTGGACTGAAGACTGCCAGCTAAACATACTCAACCCCCTGGCTTAAAGCTGCCAGCGAAATCTCCTCACACCCTTCGCTTAATATCCTCACCCACTGGCCGAAAACTGCCAGCGAATATCCTCAAGCCCCTGACTTAAAACTTCCACCGAAATATCCTCTTACCCTTCGCTTAAAACTGCCAGCGAAATATCGTCACCCCCTAGCTTACAACTGCCAGTGAGATAACATCACAACCCTGGCCATAAAAATGCCAGCGAAATATCCTCACAGCCCCTGACTGCCAGCTACATATCCTCAACCCCTGGACTTAGAACTGCCAGCAAAATATCTTCAACCCCTGGCGTAAAACTGCCACGGGCTGCGTCTGTGAATAATACTGATGTTGCTGATGTTGCTGATTACGACGATTGGGATGGTGATGGTGATGGTGATAACGGTGATGATGGTGATGGTGATGGTGTCGATGCTGATGCACATGATGATGATGATGATGATGATGATGATGATGATGATGATGATGATGATGATGATGATGATGATGGTGGTGATGGTGATGGTGATGGTGATGATGATGGTGATGATGCTGGCGATGGTGATGATGTGGATGCTGATGATGTTGATGCTGATGAGGTTGATGCTGAGGAAGGTGGTGAAGATGATAGTGACGACGACGATGGCCGTGAAGGTAAGAGGGCGCCCTCTGAAGGCAATCCTCCCCGACAGCACTCGACAACTCAAAGCTGGATCACAAGCTCTCTGACCCACTTTTGCACCCCGGACAGGACAGGGGCCGCATAGCAGGTCTGGGGTCTGGGCCGAGAGAGGCGCCAGCGCGGCAGTCGTCGTCGCGCCTCTCCTGCTTCTTCCCTGACTTCTCCTTCGAGGAGGAGGAGGAGGCGGAGGAGGAGGAGGAGAACAACCATCGGCCAGGCTGGCGCCTGGCCGGCGGCGCCGGGAGAGGATCTCGCGCGGCGCGGCGCGGC